TAGTACAATAGAAAAATACCCACCCTAAATTTATGTCGATCATTTCCTGATTGTAAACTTTTGTCCACCGAGTGTAGTAATAGTACATGTACAATGTTAACATTCAATTACGTAAAGTGAATCGCATTTTCCGATAATGTAGTGGTCGGGATTAGTGAACGTGAATCTTCATTATATATATCAAAATTTATTATACATGTACCATATCATATCTTATATAATGAATGACTAGAATTCAAACTTTATTAGATTGAGATTTTAATTATATTTCATTATATTGAAAGAGTTCATTCATTAATCGAGATTGCAGTTCATTTATTTTAAAGACATGAATACGTCTGTTGTTGACGACTTATTATCATCTGTCACTTCTTTGAAAGATAATACCGCATTGAAAGATAATAACACATGGGAAAAATTTCAAGAAGAAGCCGAAAAGATATGCAAATACATGGAACCACATCGGGTAAATGAGAACAAAAAAACCAAAGATTAATCTTTATTTTATCATTAATTACGATACTAATGATGATACCGAATAGTTCTGGAAAGAACAAGCATTCGTAGAGATGTTACAGGAAGCAAAGGGCGCTGATCCAGATTTCCGTGGTCCGTTTGAAATAATCACGAATTTCTTGTACCTGGGAGATGCACTAACAGCAGCGTCACCCCAACGACTCAGAAGCTGTGGAATCCGATACATCATAAATATCTCGTGCTTAGATAATTTTTTTGAGAGAGAAGAGCAGTTGGTTGAGTATCCGGGGATCGAACCTTTTCGATATTTACGCATTGTTATTCAAGATACTTATGATGTTGATATTCGACAGTATTTTGATGTGAGTGATTGGTAATTGCGCCCTGTGATAATGTTTGTTTTTTAGTTACATGTACATGTATTTAATAATTCGTAGATATGTGCAAAGTTCATAAATATGGCACGAGACGAACACGAGAAAGTCTATGTACACTGTTATGCAGGAAGAAGTAGATCAGTAACAATCATCTTGGCGTATTTAGCATCGATTGGACGATGGAACATCGATGATGAGTTAAAGCAAATACAAACTTTGCATTATTCGTATTGCCAACCTAACAGCAATTTCATGTCGCAGTTATACGAATATGTAAATTATTTGAAAAAGCCTTCTTCTTCCCCGACTCAAGAAAGTAGTTCTTCTGTGGTGTCTTCTGTCGTGATAAAAACACGGGTTTATGAAAAGCTCAATTTGGATGAATAACTTGTTAGAAGTTGTTCGCTGATTTTAGAGTGGTTTTAGTTGCTAATAATGCACCTACTATTAATACGTAACGATAACGCAAAAACAAATGCAAATGCAAATGTTACTGTGTGGCCATTCTTTTGAAATCAAGCATTACGTAAAATACTAGAGTCACAATAATTTATAAATAGTCAAACAACACAGAAAATTCTGCTTTAATATTTGTCTTTATCGGTATGAAATTGTACATGCATTACATTTTAATAATGCATGTACCGATAGGCGAACTACATACGTTCATGTTATGTTATCAGTATTTTTAATTATATATTACAAAATGAGCAAAAAGGTCCGGCCAGAATTATTTTGGCATTTTGCGGTAACTACGTATTTTTGAGTTTTAGATACTTAAAATAGAAAAGGATCCCACACAAGTTTTTCCCATGTTGTAATGGTATTTTGCGGGAGGAAAATGCAACAGCCGTTTAGGATCCAAACGTTATTTTGTCCTCCGATTTGGTAGCAACCAATTCCCGCAACCTCTATCCTTTCTGAAAGATTCTTCGATACAAAAATTTAGTGACCCTCCCCAAGCAACGGTTCTGATTCATATTTAAGTGATGTAATGATGTTGCTTAAAGGAACAAGATATTTTTTTATTTGTTAGTTAATTTCAATAATGTCCAGGGTCTCTTACATTCTAGATGCCAATCAATTGATTAATACCCACCGGTCCTTTGTGAAATGGAGGGTACTCAAGTAATGCAATTCTGAAATTCTGATTATTCAACTATGGTGCATAACATCTAAAGTCATAAAACGTTTGTATTTTACAAAATGTATAAACATCTTTACAAAGAACTAAATGCAAAATTTAATCCGTGAATATGATAGAATAGGCCATTTCTGAGCATATTCACGGATTAAATCTTATATTTACTTCTTAGTAAAGATGTTTATACATTTTATAAAACACAAACGTTTGATGACCTTAGATGTTATGCACCATATTAAGCGAAAGATTGTCTAATGTTGTCCTTTTGATTATTACAAACCACCTCATGTCAGACCAAATTTAATCGTTTAGTTCCAGTCTCTCAATGAATACAATCACTATTCTAATTCCAAATCGTTTTGGATGAAATGAAATGGGACAGTGACCAGGTCATTTGCTATTTTACAAGTGATTTTGGTCAATGTCACTAAATTTGATAACACTAAATACTAGTCAACGAATCACAAATTTTATGTTACTGCGAGAAACCAAGTTACTGGAAGATCTCGAAGGAAAAATATTCCGATTATTAAAAAAAGTTAGTTTTTAATGCTTGAAAAATTTATTATGTTTTCGTTATAAAATTACTGTATAGATATCGTGTGAGACGGGACTGCCTAAATTGGTACATACAAGTATCGGTATATAAAATGCAATAAAATTGATTAGGTTAGAAGTATAGACGCATTTTTTTTTTAAATAATAATATAAATTAAATTATGAAAAACAAAAATTCAAACTATCGCTATGAATGCGAAATTGAAGATTTTATAAATAAAATAAATATAAAGCGACAAAGCGATTCTATTCCATTTAACTGGATTCCTTATGATCAATTTAGTGAATTCAAATTTATCAAAAGTAAGTTTGTTCCACACGTCGAATTATTCAATGTTGAGTGGAAAGACGGGCCAGTCAATCATGTCCAATTAAATTCTTATCACAGATTGAATTTAAAACAGCTATTGCTATGGCTAAGGTAAATTTTATCTTCATCATAAAGCAGAAGTTTGTCATTTTAACGATAAATATGTTTTATAGCTTAAAAAAAGACATTTCACAATGTTATGGAATCTCGAAAGATCCTTCTTCGCAAAAAATCGTATTAATCAAGCAACCGCAATATTGTTGGAAATGTAATTCGAAATGTAAACCCAAAGGGAATATCCGGTTAACGTTAATACTTTGTTCTGAATGTGATTTGACAAGTGGAAATGCACAAATTGATAAACTCATCTCGGAAAGACAGCGAATATATGAAGATACTTTAGAATGGTTCGAATGGATACCTCATAATAATTTGAAAGAAATCAAATACATCGGTAAAGATAAATTAGATAACGAAATAATGAAAGCAATTTGGGTTCCTGGCAAAGTAATTGCCACGTTCAGAGAAGAAATTAATAGAGAACCAAACACTTTGGTCGAGTTAACCACCTGTGTAAATTATGAAAATATAATCCAAAAGGTAGAGAATTCTGAAAAACTAACCACCAACAATAATTTCTAGACTAAATTTTATTTCATTAATAGCTTGAAGAAAAGTGGTCGCATAAATTTGGAATCACACAAGTCCCGTTCACTAAAAATTTTTTAGTGGTACATAGCCGAGGATATTGTGAGATAAATCATACAGAATGGAACCCAAATTTACGAATATGTGTTAACTGTGATATTCCTTCTTGGACGAGTGGTGATGCACAAATTGATAAATTTATCTTGGAAAGACAACGAATATCTAAAGATGCTTCACAATGGTTCGAATGGATCCCCTACAATGACTTGAGCGAAATTGAATTTGTTTCTCATAAAGAATTTTTCAAATTGTCATTGGCCATATGGGAAAATGGAAGGGTGATATATTGCGACAAAATGACTGGAGATTTTGAAAGAAAAAAGGGAATTCATGTACAATTAAATATATATTCAAATATAGAAGAATTAATTAAAAAGGTAATTGAGAAGTGCCTTTTATCGATACGTTTTCTGGTGAAGTAATTTTTAATTTTTGCAATATAAATTTTTATAGGATTCCGATAAAAATTGTCCTCAAACTTATGGGATCTCAAAGGATACTTTTACTCAAGGATTTATTTTAGTCCAACAACTAGAGCATTGCTATAAATGTCGACAAATGTTGAATATTGAATATTTAATGTGTCCTCAATGTGACTTGCCCTCATGGTCCAGTGGCAACACTAAAGTCGATCAAATTATATTAAATAATCAGCAAATTCTATCTTCGGAATGGTGGCTTGAATGGATTCCTTACAATCAATTTATTGAAATTGAACCTATTGGAGAAGGTGGTTTCGCCAAAGTTTATAAAGCTAAGTGGGAAATAGGTTATGTATTAACAATTAATTGGAGTGCCAAAACATTTGAAAGAAACAGTAAGACAATAGTTGCGCTTAAAGAGATTCTTAATTCAAGTGATGCTGATATGAATCTTATTAATGAGGTAATTAATAAATTTAATTGTAAAATTAAATAATACAATTGTACTGATAATACAATTTTTACAAATTTAAAGATTAAAATGACTAGTTTTAATACAGTGAAGGGATCGTGTCATGCATATGGAGTTTCGCAAAATCCAATTACAGTCAACTCTCTCTAAATGCAACCTTCATAAATGCAATCTCTCTCTAAGTGCACATTGCGTTTCAAGTCCCATG